TAGAGCTGGATGAACACAGCAGGCCAAGCAGCATCAGAGGAGCAGGAGAGCTGACATTTCGGGTCTAGACCCTTCTTCTAGACCCGAAACGTCAGCTTTCCTGCTCCTCTGATGCCGCTTGGCCTGCTGTGTTCATCCAGCTCTACACCTTGTTGTCAGATTCTCCAGCATCGGCATTTCCTACTATCTCTGAGATATGTCCATGATTTCTTTAGATATTTTTGATCACCTGTTGTGAAACAACTCTGGAGAAAGTGGAACTTGAATCTAAACGTTCTAATCCAGAGGTAGGGATACTACTATAAAAGCCCCCTGTGATCACTTTATGCTGGATTATCTACACATGTTCAGTCAATTACAGCAGAGCAGGACACAGGCTTCTGATCATAGGCCTTATGCATTAAGACAGATCAAAGCAGTCAACTGAAGCCAATTAAAAATGAAAAAAACGCGTTAGTTCAGGGAACCCTACTATACTTTGTGATTCTGGAGAATGCCCTGTTCCAGTTACCAATTGATTACAATCAGTAATGCTGCTTGATAGCACTTGGGAAATTTAACGTTCAAGCTGGTGTTAAGTATGTGTGAAACCTTGAGCTTAATATTGTCACAGCAAAACCAACAGTGTCCAGCGCATTCTGAGCTTGTTTTGCCTACTGCTTTGCCATAAATATTGTAAATACTGGGACTTTAAATACAGAAAGACACCAAGTTAACTGCCCTTGACATCTAGCTGCTGTTAACTCCAAGTGGAAAGTCAGGAGAGACATTTAAATCTGTAGTACCAACTTAGTCTGTAAATAAATATCAATTAAAACATAGCTGAAAGCCACAAGGAAAAATTGAATAACTGGTCACTCAATGAAGAATAATCTCTGGGAGATGCATCAATTTTGATGAGCTGTTTTATTTTATCATTATGATCAGAAAGAGTTAACTGTTTCTTGAGAGGCTTGCTACTGGATTTACATTCTCACATTACAGAATGTTATTGTCTAGCCGTAGGTAATGACCTTCACTCTTAACTGTAGGGAATTTGTCTGGATCTATTGTTCCAAAATACTGCCAACTTTAAACTGTAACACCTCCAATAATAACATTTTCTCTTATTTAGTAATAATGTGGTTTGGATTTATTACCACCACATCAAAGATTAAACCTCAGTTACCTTTTAAGAATATGCCATGATTTTACTTTGAAGAATAATATATCAAAAGTAATTTCAAAGTATATTTATTGCGGCCCCAATATAATAATGTTGTTGCACCAAACAGGTAGAGAAACGACTGGAGCTGGTAAAACAAGTGTCCCACAGCACCCACAAAAAACTAACAGCATGTCTACAGGGACAACAAGGTGTGGACGCCGACAAACGATCCGTACGTTTTCTTCAATTACTGTTCACTGATACAGTCAGTCTGAAGCACCTTTCAAGAAATCGGGGGGCGTTGTATTAAAGAGGCATTGGTTTCATGTGAATAGACTTTGGCAAATCTTCTTTCGTTTGTTTGGACATCTGAAATGGAGTGTCTGAAATATTGCGTGCTGTCACACCATTTGTGCAAATTTCCAGTTCCCAAAGGAGAGGAGGTTCTGGATGAGGCCTGTCCCCTTTTGAGAAATGAAATCAGAAATTACTGGGGAAGCTCAGCAGGTCTCGAAGCACCTGTGGAGAGAAAAACAGAGTTGATGTTTCAAGTCACAGGGTTCTTCGGTACTGTAAGAGTTGTGTTGGTATAGTGCAGTTGGGTTAGCTGTTGGGAACACTAGATGGGCAGTCCATTGTAAATCTCTGCTGATTTTCTTTCCTATGGAAGGCAATGGGAGGGAAAGTTGGGAATGTTGTGTAACAAATGGGTGACTAATGATTGTTTTCCATTGCAATTAATGTGGGTAGTTGCTGCTAGGTCCATAAGAGTGGGAGTGGTGCTGGATGATGGAAATGGCAGAGTGGGTGAAAGTTATTGGTCTTATGAATGGGACTTTATAGTGACTCACTCCATCTTCCTGCCCCCTCTTTCTCATCCCTTTCTCTCTCTGTCTCTCTCCCTCCCCCCCTTCTCTTTGCTCCTTTCTTTCTCTCCCATCTCCTTCTATCTCTTTCACTCTTACCCCTTCACGGTGGTGGCTGTTTTCCAGACTTGTCCACCCTCAGTTCTTGATCCCTGTCCCAGTCCCTGACCTGGTCCTGTGTCAACACAGACTTGATCCTTGTACCCAATTTCTATTACTTGATATCAGCATCAGGAAAAGATGGTGGGAAAATTCACAAAACCTTGGAAATATTCAAACTTTAAAGGTACCTACCATTTTTATAAAGGATTCTCATGTTGGTTAGTGAACTAGATACTAATCTGTGCAGGGCTGCGTTGTGGTCTATAGCTGTATGTTGGACAGCCTTGCTTTATGTAGTGTCACCATTGTCCCGGAGGACCATGGGGCTGCTCTCTCATAGAGAGGGGTGATTGGTGGTGGGTTTAACTGAGGGTCACCACATTATCATTGAAAGTGAAAATTAACCATTGTGTACATTAACCATTTCTGAAGAAGGGTCTAGGCCCGAAACATCAGCTTTCCTGCTCCTCTGATGCTGCTTGGCCTGCTGTGTTCATCCAGCTCTACACCTTGTTATCTCATTAACCATTGTATGTTGGTTGAACAATGGGTGAATGTTTAAAACATTTTTAAAGATGTTTTGAAGAAGGATATCTCTTGAAACAATGAGTTCCTGTGTTCTCTACACATGTTGGACTGTTGGTAACCTTTTCTGTACCCATTTTCCAGCAGTACTTTCTATTATTGTTCAAAGTCAATATATGACTATTTGCAATAAATGATCTCATTTAAGAAGCAACTTGCAGCCCATTCGTTCAAGACATGATAAGGGGATATATTTTTCCCTGTATGTATTTAAAGCAAGATTATAAACACTTGTTTGAAGAATATGTTCAGCATTTTTGTTGTAGAATCCCTACAGTGTGGAAACAAGCCCTTCGGCCCAACAAGTCCACACTGACACACAGAGCATCCCACCCAGAACTATCCCCCTAATCTACACATCCCTGAACACTATGGTCAATTTAGCATGGCCAATCCACTTAACCTACACGTCTTTGGACTTTGGGAGGAAACCGGAGCACCTGGAGGAAACCCATGCAGACACAGGGAGAATGTGCAAACTCCACACAGACAGTCGCCCGAGGGTGAAATTGAACCCGTGTCCCTGGCGATGTGAGGCAGCAGTGCTATCTACAGAGCCACTGTGCCACCCTTTATTTTAGTACAATAGCAAACCAGTGAACATTTGTCCCCTAATAGAATCACTGATGTTTCACTGAATCTGTTACATCTGTTGTTTCTGCAGGAAAACTGGTGGAATTTTAACTCATTTCCATGTGAAATCTACATATGAGAAAAGCATGGGGAATCAGCCAGCTTGTTGAATATGTTGCTTGTATATTTAATAGATGGCATATTTGAGATCTGACTGTAAATCATGTTGGTCTTTTCCACAGAAAAAGCTACCATTAACAACATTAGCCCAGTGTTTAGTGGAAGGCTCTGCCATCCTGGGTGAAGATACTTTGCTGGGGTAAGGCTTTACAGTTCTTTCTTTGTTGGTTTAGCTTCTATATAATTTATCACAAGTTCCATGTGCTTGCTCCTATTGTACACATCAATTAATAAGAATGAACGTGCAAAAAAGAGAAGTCAGCCATTCACCCCTCAAGCCCACCCAGCCATTCCATAAGATCATGTCTTGTCTATTTGTTTTTGAATTTCATTTTCCCTTCTATCCTGGTTAACCCTTGATTCCCTTGCCCAACAAGAATCTACCTGCCTCTACTTTAAAAACATTCAGAAACCCCACTTTCATCACCTTCTGAGGTAGAGATTTCCAAAGTTGCACAACCCTTTGAGATAAATAAATTCCCCTCATCTCGGTTCTGGAATGATGACTCCAACTTTTAAAACAGTGACCTCCAGTTAAGGACAAAGAACAGTACAGTACAAGAGCAAGCCCCTCAGCCCACCAAGCCTGCACTGATGCATGACTCCTTTCTAAGCTAAAAACCTTTTGCCTCTGCATGGTCTGTATCCCTCTATTCCCTGCCTGTTCATGTAGCTGTCAAGATACCTCTTAAACATTGCGATTATGTCTGCTTCTAGCACCTCCTCTGGAGCGCATTCCAGGCACTTAACACTCTCTGTATGAAAAAAAAAGCCTCTCACATCTCCTTTAAACTTTGCGCATTTTACCTTAGAATTACATCCCCATGTAATCGTCATCTCTACACTGGGAAAAAGACTCCAATCAACCATTCTATCCATGCCTTCCATAATTGTGCAAACACTGATCAGACTACTCCTCAGCCTCCAATGTTCAAGTGAATACAAACTGAGCTTTTCCCATCTGCCCTCATAGCTAATACCTTCCAAACCAGGCGCCATCCTGGATACTCTTCTGTACCTTATCCAAAACCTCCACATTCTTCTGATAGTCTGGTGACCAGAACTGTATGCAGTATTCCAAATGTGGCCAAACTAAAGTTCTATATAGCTGTAACATGACTTTCCAATTTTTATATGCCCCAGCCAATGAAGGGAAGCAAGCATTTGCCTTATTGACCACCTTATCCACTTCAGGGAACTGTGCACCTGTACACCTAAAACCCTCTGTATGTTAATACTTTTAAGGATTCTACCATTTACTGTATACTTACACTAGGCCTTTCATAATGCGTTATCTTGCATTTGTCCAGATTAAATTCCATCTGCCGTTTCTCCGCCTAAGTCTCAAGCATATCAATACCCTGCTATATCTCTGGCAATCCTCCTCACTATCCACAGCTCCCCTAATCTTTGTGTCATCGGCAAACTTACTAATTGGGCCACCTACGTTCTCCTCCAAATCATTTTTACATATTACAAACAACAGGAGTCCCAGCACTGAACCCTGTGGAAAACCACTGGCCACAGGTCTCCATTTAGAAAAACACCCTTACATTACGACTCTCTGTCTTCTATGGCTAAGACAGTTCTGTATGCATCTGACCAGCTTACTACAGATTCCATGTGACTTCACCTTCTGTATTAGCCTGTCATGAGGAACCTTGTCAAAGGCCATTTTGAATCCCATATAGACAACATTTACCATGCTGCCCTCATCAATTATCTTTGTCACTTCTTCAAAAAATCTCAATTAACTTGTTGGACATAACCTACCCCACACAAAGCCACGCTGCCTGTTGCTAATAAGTCTATATTTTTTGAAATGTGAGTAAATCCTGTCCCTAAGAATCTTCTCCAATCACTATCCTGATGTAAGACTCTCCTGTCTGTATTTTCCGAGATTATTCCTGTTTCCCTTTTTAAAGAAAGGAACAACATTGGCTAATCTAAGGTCCTCCGGGACCCCACCTGTGAGTAAAGAGGACACATTGATTTTGTACAAGACCCCAGAAATTTCCTCTGTCAGCTCCCTCAATATTCCAGGACAGATCCCATCAGGCCCTGGGGACTTGTCTAAATCAATGCTGTTCAAAACATCCAATACCTTTTTTATGTCGACATGCCCTAGAATATTAACATATCCCTCTCCAGACTCACCAGCCACCATGTCCTTCTCCTTTGTGAATACCAGTGCAAAGTATTCATTAACGAACTCACCCACATCCTCTGGCTCCATGCATAAATTTTTTCCTTTGCCCTTGAGTGGACGTACCCTTTCCCTAGCTACCCTCTTGCTCCTTATATACCTATGAAAAACCTTGGGATTTTCCTTAACCTGTTTGCCAAAGTCATTTCATGACCCATTTAGCTTCCTAACTCCTTGTTTAAGTTCTTTTCTGTTTTCTTTATATTCTTCAAGGGTTCTGTCGGTCTTCAGCTTCCTCAGCCTTAAATATGCCTCCTTTTTCTTTCTGACTAAACTCACAATTTCTCTTGTCATCCAAGGTTTCTGAATCCTGCCATTCTTTTCCTTCATTTGCACAGGAACATGCTGGTCCTGACCTCTAACTAACTGGTCTTTAAAAGATTCCCACATGATAGACACGAATTTACTCTCAAATAACTTCCCCCAATCTACATTCCCCACTTCCAGCCTAATATTGTCACAGTTAGCATTCCCCTAGTTTAGTACTTTCACCTGAGGACTACTCTTATCCTTATCCATAAGTAACTTAAAACTTAAAGAATTATGGTCATTGTTCCAGAAATGCTCCCCACTGAAACTTCGATCACCTGGCCAGACTCATTCCTCAATACCGGGTCTACTATGAGCCCTTCCCTGGTTGGACTGTTTGCATATTGCTTCAACAGACCCTCCGGGATGCACCGAGCAAATTCAACCTCCCACCCAGCCAAGCTTGTGGCACTAGGAGAATCTGAGTCAATATATGGGAAGTTAAAATCTCCCACCACAGCAACCCTGTTGTTTTTACATTTGTCCGTGCACTGTAGAGATTCTATGATGTTATAAACTGTCCATATTATCTATTCCTCTATCGTCCACTGGCTATTAGGAGGCCTGTAGTACAATCCCATCAAAGTGATTGCACTCTTCCTGTTCCTGAGCTCTACCCATATGGCCTCACTGGATGAGCCCTCCAAGGTGTCCTCCCTTAATATACCTGTAATATTCTTCCATGTCAGTAACACAACTCTCTGTCTCATCTGAAGCATTTAAATCCTAGAGCATTAAGTTGCCAGTCTTGTCTTTCTCTAAATCAAGTCTTTGTAATAGCCGCATCATCACAATTATTTTTACTAATCCAAGCTCTAAATTCGTCTGCCTTACTCCTGTCTCACTCTTTTAATTAAAACAAATGCACTTCAGACCACCAGTCCCGTTGTGTTCCATAACCTCTTCTGTCTGTTCTGTCTCTGAACTTTACTGGCTTTCGTCTCTGACTCCTCCTCTGTAGTTTCTGACCTACTGCTCTGGCTCCTAGCCCCCTGCCACACTAGTTTAAACCATCCCGAGTGGCAACTAGCAAATCTCCCTGCCAGGATATTGGTGCTCCTCCAGCCCAGGTGCAACCCATCCTTCTAGTACAGGTCCCACCTGCCCTGGAAGAGATCCCAATGATCAATATACCTGAAGCCTCCCTCCTACACCAGCTGTTTAGCCACATATTTAACTGTACTGTCTTCCTATTCCTAGCCTCACTGGTACATGGCAGAGGGAGTAATCCCAAGATTACAACCGAAGAGGTCCTGCTTTTCAACTTCCTGCCTAACTCTCTGAACTCCCTTTCTGCCTATATTGTTAGTACCAATATGGACCACAACTTCTGGCTGCTCACCTTCCGTTTTGAAAATGTCTTGTGCCCGTGCCCGCTCAAAAATATCCTTGACCCTGGCACCAGGGAGGCAACACACTGTCATCAAGTTCCTATTGTCCAATGGTTTGTTGTTGATCTTGAATAGTTGCGTGATGTAATAACGGACTAGTACAAAGCCTTTGTCTCCTGGATATTTAGCCTAAGGCCTATTGTCTCATAGGCCTCTGTGAATTAATCAACCAGGGTTTGGAGCTCAGCTTCTGCTTGTGTACACAGGCAAGCATTGTCTGCGCAATGCAGGTCGATGACAGAAGTAGGAATGATCTTGGCTCTGGAGGCAACATAGGTCAAACAGCATAGCCTTCATTGTGTAGAGAAGCTCCACTCCAGCAGAGAGCTTCATGGACTAGAGTATGATGCTGAGTTAGATGGAGAAGGGCATTGGTGCAGTGATGCAACTTTGCTTGATCCCAATTTGTAGTTGTATTGAATCTGTAGTGGATCGTTGATGAGAATCATAGCTTGCACAGGATCGTGTAGCAGGCAGAGGTTATTGATGGGTATCTGTGTGCAGTCAAATTTGAGGAGGATCCTCCATGATCTATCCCAGTTGATAGACACAAAGTCCTTTGTTAGGTCAAGTAAGGCCATATGATCCGAGTGTTGCTGTTGTTTGCATTTTTCTTGGACTTGTCTTCTTGTGAAGATTATGCCAAAATAATGCATGCATTAGCATAGATGTATAACTAGCTGGAATTAAGAAACAAAAACGGAAATTGCTGGAGAAACTCAGCAGGTTTGGCAGCATCTGAGGAGAAAAAGCAGAGTCAGTGTTTCAGGTCCAGTGACCCTTCTTCAGAACTGGAAAGCTGCTGTGTGGTCAGGGACAGGAGAATGCGACTGCGAATGAGGTAGATATGGGGATCCAGAATGTAGCTTTGGAGGAGTCTCAGCCAGTGCCTTTATCCAATAGGTATGAGGTTCCTGTTCCTTCTATGTATAAGGCCACAGACTGCAGGGAGGACCACATTACTGGGGTCCAGAGTGCCATTCAAGAAAGAGGGAGAAAAAAGAAATGTAATCTGGAATAAAATAGTTCGGGGTATGTTGTGTTCTCTGCAGCGAAGACAAGTAAGTCCTGAAGGCTGTGTTACCACCCTGATACCAGGTTTCAGGACCTCAGTTCTGAGATGGAGAAGAACTTGAAGTGGGAGGTGAAGAATCCTTCCGATTCATGGGTCACTGATATCGATACTAAAGAAAGAGAGAGCTGTAGTATTGGAACTGGCATTGTTTGAACCAT